ATATAGTTAGAGATATGTGATTATCCTTTTGTATATTTTTTTTATATTATACATTTAATTATAATAACACATTTTAAATCGATATATGCACTGGTTTTTTATTTGTATTTTTTCAAATTGAAAATGAAAGATTGGGGCAAGTTGTTTCCTTCGGAGCAGATTGTTACATGTAACAACTTATCCTATTGAAAACAATTTTTTTCTTCTACAGAATACATGGAGACGAAGTAGGCAATTTATTTATAGAATGCACAGACTTCTATAAATAAACTGTCTCCTTCGTCTCCATGATTGCGTCCAGCAGACTTAACTGTTGTGCAATCGTTTTATGATTGTCCGCTGAGATAGGATCATTTTTCTAGATCTAAAAGTATAATCCAATCAGCGCGAAGTAAATTTCCAATAGTTGCAAAATAAACGTTCTGCTGAACGTAGCGCATGTTTGAAGACAACGCTGGGCAGCGCCATATTTATGTTACTCTCACATGTATAAATCACACAGATAATAACGTTAGTGTTTTTACATAAATTTATACAATATTCACAGACAAGACGCATACATACGCATATGTAAATTGAAACAAGGACAGCTCGGAACAAGGACAGGTTCATCTCTTTCTATTATTGAGTTAGCAGTCTAGTTATAAAAGTCTGTGGAATGATGCGATCTGACAAGAAAAAGACAAAGGATCTGTAAATGTAGAAACATATGCGACAGCGGCAAAGGAAGTTAAAGATGGCCACCTGTCTGTAAGAAAAGCAGCAAATGCATGTAATATTAATTTTATGACTTTCCAACGTTAACTTTAATAACTATTATAATTAAAGAAAAAATGTTTATAATAATATATTTTTTTAATTTTATATTATAAAATAAATATTCCTTGTGAAGTATTTCGTGTTTAATTTCATTGTAATCTTAAATTTGCTTATATATAATATATATATATATGTATATATTATATATTTCAAGTGATACTGTAAATATAACAACTTGCCCCACCCTTGTAGAAAAATACTACTGAGCACTAGGAGTATTTTGAGGCACTACTATAACACTACAGCACTACTGTAGTGGACCTGATCTACTGTAGTGCTAAGATCTTCTATATATCTGTGTTTCGGCAAGATACAAAATGCAGGAAACGAGTATGTTTCATAGAAATTATAACTATTAATAACCCTATTTTAAAAAAAGTACTTTCAGACTCTACGAGTACACTCTGAGCTGAGAATAAGTGACGGATTTCATTTACATATGCCTTTTTATAGGGATTTATAGGGACGTTATTTTCTCTTTAAGAAGAAAATGACGCGGATCCCTATAAAGAGGTACATGTAAATGAAATCCGTCACTTCTTAGCTCAATCAGAATGTGCTTGTAAAGGCTCTGAAAGTGCTTTTTTTTACAAAGTTATTAATGGTTTATTTCTATAATGCATAATCGTCGACACGCACCGAGGGTCATCCGGGCGACGGGGTCCGCAGGATTCGACTACTTCCGGGATCGAGGGCGTTGATGTTCGGTCTCGTTGACGTTTGTCCTTTCCTACTCCGACTGTCTCCAGCTTTTTATCCTCCTTTGGCTTCTTTGGCTTGATATCCTCCGGCCTAGAGTAAAAAAAATGCAATGTGGTTTCATCTGATACAGAAATTCATTTCCTTTCAACTCGATTCCGGAACTGTGAGAGCATGTCTGTAAGTACGCTGAGATTCGTGCGAGCTAATATCTCCCCGTTTTTTCTAAATTCTAATCAGAGATTGACTTAGCCAAAAATGATTGCTCGATCAACATCGATCGATATTGATTCAACGTCGATCAACTAATCATTCTGGTTGGAAACTAACTATTATAATCGCAAGAATTATATCTCTTATATATTCATAGTTCCGAAATCGACATTTTTCTCCCCTGGTGAAAAAATTTTGCTGCAATTATTCTACGTTTTGGAACATTTCAACGAAATTGCTGAAAATTTGCTAAAAGTAAATTTTTCATTTAATATATTGAAAAGGAAGATAATATTAGAATGGATATAATAATAATGGATATAATGGGATATAATGGATATAATGGATATAATGGATATAATGGATATAATGGATATAATGGATATAATAATAATGGATATAATGGGAAGATAATATTAGAATGGACCTTAACGAAATGGGGTACGAGGGTCACAAATGGAGGGATCTTGCTCAGGGACGGAAACAGTGGCGGGATTTGGTATTTGCGGCAATGAGCTTTCGAGTTCTTAACGCCTAATAATAATAATAATAATAATATATTGAAAAATCGAACTGAAATTTCTCTGAAATTTTGCCAAAAATGAATTTTTCGGCTAACAATCGCTGAAATTAAACTGAAATTTTTCTGAAATACTGAAATTTTGTTGTGAAAAGTGTTTTAAAACATGAAATTTTTCCACTAGGGGAGTAACTAACAAATTAATAAAAATCATTGACTGCCAGCTTTAAGCTTCATGTACAGCAATGAATAACTTATAAATTGCTTTCTAGAGTCAAGTTTATGACTCTATATACTTGTATGTATCAAACGAGATTATAACTACACATGCTTTGAACTTTCTAATTTGGCGGAGTTGCGAATGTTTCGAGATGTATGTATTTAAATACTCAGTCAGAAACAGTTCCTTGAAAAGACGTCGAAACGATGTTTTTTTGAGGAACTGTTTCTTATTGGATAATGTCGAATGATGAAGAGCAGCTCTAAATTCTGTATGAAGTTTCTGCATGGCTGAATGCAGATAATGTCCAACGTTTTTTTTTTTTGCGCAACGCCATTACATTTTGCATACATGTATGTACAACGCAATACTTTAGCGATTGGTTCTTATTTATGGATCCATGAATAAGAACTAATCGCTCGATGAGCAAGCTGCATTCCGAAACCCATCGAAGAAAAGATGTTGCAACCTTTTTGTGACCGGCTATAGAAGTATCGCGTTGTACATGTATGCAAGATGTAACGGCGTCGCGCAAAAAAAATGTTACGCATCATAAAATAAAATTTCCGAATGGAAATATTATCGATTAGAACATTATCGATCTTCAATTTTATTACTTTGTGTCACCGAGCAAGAATCTTTCTCTTCAGAAAGATTCGGACAATACCTGAATGTAGTACAGTTTTGTTGTACTACATTCAGATATTGAATATTTTCTGGTAGAATAAACAATACGGTCTCGACCGATCGTCGATGTCAAGCGATATCTCGCTGGGAATCAGGAAATTTTATTTGTATGACAACACACAGTAGAGAGATGCGGCTAATGATAGGCAGACACATTACTCACGATGCAGCGCGATGCAGAAGTGATGCACCGTGGTGTCAATTAATGCTTGCAGGTATGATCCAGTGAAAAATGACAATGAAATCAATGTCCAAAACGATTCCATGATCATTTTTCACTGGGGACGCGACACTAATGTCACGTGCATAGGAAACACTAATGAGTGCTCTAATGCCTGCTCTGGCGTGGATCCAATGACTAGGCCACAAATTCCAGAAGAATATATCTTGCCTGAAATTGTAATTGATTCTCTGCGATGGCGTATTATACCTGCGCATTGCCAGCATTCTCGGCAGCCAGTTGATGAACACGCGTCGAACCCACGGATTCATTGTGTGGGTTTGCGGCGTACGGTAATGCACATTTATGACAAAGACTGTTATCCATACGCTGTAAAACACGAAAGAAAGATACTGAAATGTAATAAGACAATTCGTGATCGAGTTAATTATTCAATAGTCCCTTTTAAATTATATTAATTTTAAATTAAACACGGAAAAAAAAGATATAGTTCACATAACTAAAAATATTTAGTTGTGAGCAATATAGAAACATTATCCTAGTTATCTTTACGTGATAGGAATGTGTATGGTTGATACGATTTATTTACTTTGATGTGTCAACTACATCAATGTAGTTAGACGCGATCCAGTTGTGACAACCAAAACTTGATTGGGGGATTATTTACTATGAATAAGTTATATATCTGTATAGTTGTGTCAATCGTGACATAAAGCATGTATAATAAGTATTAAATTATTAATAAGAATTAATTTCTTGTTACATCATGCTATAAATGAAGTTGCAATTTCAAAAGCAAAAGCGACTCACCACGCTTAGAGATATGTTACTACTAGTTAAAGATATGTATATGTAAAACGCTTATTATTCTAAGCGCATATATATACATATCTAGTTGTGTGCATAGTTCGAGCCGTATTTGTTTTTTAGAATTCGCAGATGCAACGATATTACAACACACGCGGTCAATTGGTATCGTGAAAAGGCTTTTTGTTTTGTTATTGCATTATGGATAAAGGTTGTAAGAATACGCTGAAATACATGAAACTATCGCATCTTATCGCATTATTTGATGGTATAAATAATAAAAAGGTTATATCTGGAAATACACTGAATGTTTAGAAGGTTACATACAAGGGTATGTAGAAAATGTTATTTTGTCCACATATTTACAGAAAAATATTTGGTTGTTCGGAAAGTAATTTCGTTTTTTCTTATGAAAATGAAAGACGATTTTCAATCAGACGCGTTTCAAATGATCATGAACGGTAGAATTCGATAAATTTAATCTCTCAGCGATCTCACGAGTTGTTATTCGCCGGTTT